ACTTCATGCCCTGGAGACCAGTATAAGATCCAGCGGTATGGACCACTTGGTGCAATGCAGACTGAACCTTTAGCTGACCTATTTTAGGCTATGGAAACTGGGGTAAATGCGGTCAATGGGTCAGTTTGTTTAATTTTACCCCAGAGATCACAACCATTTCATTGCACCAGAGTAAATTTAATTAATTAATTAATTAATTAATTAATTAGTCTGTAGTTCAGGCAGGTGTGTCGGTTGGTCAATAAATCAGTCAATCAAGTAAAATAGCAAATAAATCACTTCATTTAAGCATGAAAGTGTTAAACACTACTGTACTAATTGGGGACACTGAAATAAACAATGACCAGTTGACCATTTGGCTATTTACAAAGTATGGAGTAGTTGTATTTGGGGCCACTAAACTCACATCCATCCCGTGGCAGGGAGGAGGATTCGAACAAATCCAGCGCTCTAACCACTGAGCCACACAGCCTCCTGATCAGTTAAATATATTTGTTTATCCTCGATAAGTGTTGTAATCTAACTTTACGTCACTGATTGAATTGTAGGATTTAAAAGATATGAGCAAGACAGGAGATGCAGCCATTGCCAAGGACATGGCGGTAGATCAAATGGAAAATAGGAAAGAGAAAAAAGAGAAGAAAAAGAAGAAGAAATCAAAAGAAGAGTCTGAGATTCCAGCTACAGCGAAAAACCAGGAGGATTCTGCACCAAAGGAAAAGAAGTCTAAAGAAAGTAAAAGAGAGAAAAGTAAAAACGACGAGGAGCAAGAACCTCAAGGTGGGATTGATCGAGAAACAAAGGAAAAGAAAAGCAGAAAGGGGAAAAAGGATGTAGAAGTTTTAATCGAGGAAAAAACTGTGGAGGGTGATAAGAGTGAAAAAGGCAAAGCTGGAAAAGAGAAGAAGGAAAAGAAAGAGAAAAGCAAGGATAAATTAGCTGCAGAAAAAGAATCAACAAAAACTGGTGACGTTGCGAAAAGTAACGATGATGATGGAGATGAAGGAAACAAATCGACATTGAAGGAAAAGAAAGGGAAAGAGCAAGCTTCCGCGACGAAAACCGAGGATGAAATCCCTGAGAAAAAGTCAAAGCGTGATCGTAAGAAAAATAAGTCTGAAGAGGTGGTAGAGACATCAGTGGACTTCAAGGCAGCTGAGCAGAAAGAGGATGAGAAGAAACTTACTGACCTTGTCAAAGAGGAAGCGGGCGCTGGCGTGCTGGGAGAATCAAATACTGGCGCTCGCGAAGAAACGGCTAAACGGGATCGAAAGAAAACCAAAAAGAAAGAATCCAGTGAAAAAGGAGAAGAAGTTGTAAGAGTGGAGGACAAAGAACAGTGTAAAGTCGAAGAGGATGAGAAGGATGGAACGACGATGGGAGGAGAGAAAGGAGATAATGTAAAGCAGAAATCAAGATCTAAGAAAAGCGAATGCTCTGAAATGAAGATCGAAGGAAAGAAGAAATCTGCTGACAAAAGGTCGAAGCGCGATGGTGAACAAGCTTTAGAGGAAGCTGGTAACGAGGGAGAAGAGAAGACCGGCAAAGGGGAAAAGAAGGCAGCGAAGGCGCTGGAGTGTCATGAAACAGAAGAATCAAACGCGAACGCTGAAAACCAAAATACTGAGAAAAAGTCTAAAGGCGATCGGAAGAAAAGGAAAAAAGATGAAGATAAATTCATGGCATTGGAAAACGTAGATGATATTGAAGATAAGGGCACCAAGGCTAAAAGGAAGAAAAGTGCAGAAGAAGAAGAGAAGGAAATAAAAGAATCCGTGGCCGATGAAGAAAGTAACTTGCAAGAGAAGAACGGCGAACGGGACGGTAAGAAAGCAAAACGTGAGAAGTCTGCTGACAAAAACAAAGAAAAGAATGAAAATGAAAATGGGAGCAAAGACGGAGATGGTGAGGCTGGAGGTGAGGAAATAAGCAAGGAGGAATCTAAAACTGAAAAAGAAAATAAACGCGCGGAGAAAAAGGCCAGGCGTGCCCTTAAAAAGGCGAGAAATAACGAAGATGCGAACTCCAAGGGAAGCAGTAACCAAAATGATGAAAAGAGAAAGGAGAAAAATGTTGCTACAGACGAAGACAAGAAAGTAGAAAGAGACGACGAAAGGGAAATGGAAGACGAGGGAGAGTCAAAAAGAAAAAGGAAAAAAAAGTCGAAAGATGACAGTGGTTTTGGTGACGAACGAGAAAAAGTCCCAGACAAAAAATCAAAATGCGACAGTAAGAAAACTGCAAACGATGACACTGACACAGCGTTAGCGGCCGAGGGAAAAGAGGAAACGAAGAGTGAGGAGGTTGAAAAAGAAATCCCCAGGAAAAAGAAAAAACACGATCGTAAAAAACAGATGGATGGTGAGATGGGGAAGTCGTGTGAAAATGGACAAAAGAAACAGGATGGAAAATCAGATGATAAATCCCAATCAGAGGTAACAAAATGAGATGTTAATTAATTGAGATAGTAAGACAGCAAAACGAGAATTCATTACAAGGGAAGAGAAACTTTATCTTCACCAAAGTGTTTGAATCTGCAAGGAGAGAGGACGGCCGTTGCATTTTTGTGGCAAGAGTGCTCTACTTTCTCTTTTCCCTTTACTATTTGTTTTAGGATGAGATTAGGTTGTTCGTAAGTTTCATCGTATGATTTCTTAAGCCAGTCTAGCTACCTCGAGTAGTTTAGTTGCAGTCAGAAGAGCCACCTTAACCTTAACTCTTTTCATATCATTTGTTCTTTTATCTACAGCTTGGCCAGTGGGGTGAAACTGAGTTTGGAAGCGAGGAGCGAAAGGACAAATTTCTTCGTCTCATGGGCGCCTACAAGAAGAAACCTTCCGCCCAGACGCCAGAAGCCAATCTGAGCCCGCAGTCCAGTCGACGCTGTATGACAAAGGACACCGAAAAGTCTCTCACACAGCGATTGGAGCAGCAGTACGAGTCTGCCATGAACGTTACCAGAAACCGAAGAGGTCTGGGACTTGGATATAACCCGGATGAAGACCCAAGCAATAAGACATTTTACATTGACAAAACTGGATCCAAATCAGTAAAGTTAAGCTAATGTGCCAAACAAAAATAAGTTGTGGTGTTAAGATAGATATTTCTACCTAAAGAAGAATAATATACTTTTTCCTATGAGCAAAGTGACAACTTTAATGATAAAAGTTTGGTTGGAGGATTTTTCCTGATTGTCGTAGTCTAAAACTCCTTCTTTGAAGAGGAATTCATTTCTTGTGACAATTCAGCCCTTCCTTCTTTTTTTTTCCAGTCTTCAGACCACTTCTTTTGCCGAGAGACCCCAGATTATATCCTCTCATGTGCTTGGTTACCTCTCCTACCCACCCCCACCCCAATAGAAACAACTGTTTTTACCCCTCCCCGACCCCGGAGGTAGATGTGGGTGTTTATGCCCCCTCTGTGAAACGTGGTCCAGTAATTAATGGCGATATCTATGAGCAAATTTCTGCAGAACAATAGCCCATTTCCGAGTCACCTTTTGCCTCTGTTTCAAAACGAGTCTTCGCGCAAAGCCTTTCGTATGAAAACGAGTTTGATTTGCATGAAAATGAACCTGTCGTTGAAACGCATTTTCACATGAATGGTTTCGCACGAAGACTCACGTTTTGACACTGAGGCAAGAGGCAACTCGGAAATGGCCTACTCTGATTGTTTGGGGGAGCAGGGGTGGCGCAGTGGTGAGAGCGCTCGCCTCCCACCAATGTGACCGGGGTTCAAATCCTGGACCTGGTGTCATAAGTGGGTTGAGTTTGTTGTTGGTTCTCGTCCTTGCTCTGAGGGTTTTTCTCCGGGTTCTCCGGTTTTCCTTCCTCTACAAAAAATCAACATTTCTAAATTCCAATTCGATTGGGAATTCGAGGGCCACGGGTTTGTCAGTTGTAAGACTGTTGTGTGTTACCCTCGTTAAACAAAGTTAATTTAGTTTAATTTAGTTTTTTTAGTTGGGTACTAAAACCTCCAAGATTCATTGTTATCGATCCATTCACTAGTAGAGGGTCGTACAGGGGTACTCTCGTGACGCGTGATTAGCTGATTTTATTTCCTGTAAAAAAAATTATCCTTCGTCATCCGTCACTGGCTTGCAGGTTTTTCGTGACCCGTAAAGAACTTGAACTGTGATTTTGAGACGCGAGTCCACCGGAAGATTCATTAAGACTGAAAATATCCGAATGTGACCTCCATTTAACAAATTGACGTCAGTTTTTTATGCGTCTCTCCTCTTATTGATGATAAATTGCGTCATAACATTGTCAAAGTGGCTGTGGAACCACGAGCCGCTGGCGAATGGTTCCGCAGTGAACTTTGACAATGTTATGACGAAATTTATCATCAATAAGAGGACAGACGCATAAAAAACTGACGTCAATTTGTTTTTTACAATAGACCAATTTCGATATATTAAAATTCAGCCTAAAACAATAGACCTCAGTATGAGGCTCTGGGGAATAACTGCAGAGTTTGTGGGGTTTATTCCCCAGAGCCTCGTGCTGAAGTTTATTGTGTTAGGCTGAATTTTAATATATCGAAAGTGGTCTATTACAAGACCTCAAGGTGGTAAAATGCCGGGAATAAATAAGGGGAAAAGACGCCGTAAACTTGCAGTAAACAAAGATGAGTGAATTGTATTCAAAATGACGCAAACATTGTCGATAGCTCTTCTCGCTTTTTCATTGGCTACTTAAAAAGTCCATAAAATCTCATTGGTTAAAAAGTTGACAGTTTGACAGCTGAAAGTTGAACTTGAAAGCTTGCATAAATTAAAATTTGATCTGTCTGTACTCTTATTGATGATAAAAATGAGCCAATCAGCGCGCGAGAAAATAGACAGTTATTGTAAAAATAATCGTACCGTCTCGTAAAGCATCTGCAACCATCAACTACCTATCGAGAGTAATTTTGGTTTGCGATTTGTAATATGGATCGATTTTGCTTTCTTTAAACACTCTCTCTAGCCTACGAGCAGGTTGTTAAAAAGAGTACCTTATTGCTAATTTTCGTGATTCGAGAAAAAGAAGTTCCGCGATTCGCTATTTTTCCCATTCGTCAACCGTGCCAAAACCCCCCTGTACGACCCTCTTAGTGTGAGAAATCGGTGTTCTCGAAAACATCAGGGTCATAGGACAAACAGCTACTGCGTTAATGTAATTTGAATAACAAATGACAGGAAAACCATTACGATATGCGAATGACTAGCCAGCGTAACAGAGATGACTGTCAAACAAGGAAGTGGAGTGTGAATGACAGAGATGCCTGCATAGCGTTTCTCTACAGTTACGTTACATTTGATTCAAAAATCTACATATATACAACCTTGGGAAAGTGTGACCTGTAAATTTAAATCAAGTTCTGAACTGTAGCGTTTGCAAGGCTATTGCATGAAACGATTCACAAAATTACTCGTAAACACAAATTGTCACTCAATGACGCGGACTGTTTGATTAAATTTATGTAAATTTAATAATGGCATATCTGTTTCAGAGCTGTTTCGTTTTGACAACATGCGACACCAGTGACGTCTACCCGGTTCCATTCAGTGATTTAAGTCAGTTTTAAAACAATGTTTTTAAAACTTAAGTCCCTTAATATTGTTTCTATCTGTATTTATTTTTCCTATATCATTGTAAACCATCTTACGGTAAGTTGTTTTCCTGTAAATAGTGTGCAGTAATAAAAACTGAACTGAAACTGAACTTAAGAACATGTCGTGATGCCATTAGCGATTAAAACGGTGATTAGTATTAATAGTTCTTATGTTACCTGCAAAGTTTCATCATCCCAGTTACCAAAATTAAGAGATTTAGTTCTTGATACTGTCGGTCCAAAACTCGTGTGGACTTGAGCGCAGTCCTGGCAAAGAAATATTCCTTTCTTCAGGCAAGCATACCTGGGATCTGCAAGGGAAACCATCAACGTATGCTTATATATCAACTCGATTCAATAGTTCGTAGATCTTTTATGCAAGGCCACTGATAACATTGTCGCAGTTCAGGCCAGACTCCGCGAAGACATGTCGATAAATCGATCGATGGAGATTTCACGATAAAGGAACGCTACTTTTTGAATTCTTCTCAGTAATGAAAAACAAACGAAGTACATCGATCCATTATGAAAGCCCAAGCATTCTTCTGTAACTACATGTAGCTTGCTTATTTAAGTTACTACGGCCGACTCCGCACGGTTTATCATTTCAAGTCTGAACTGTTTTCATTCGACTGTCTTGTCTTACCTACTGTCTACAGTTACTACTAATGAAGTTAATCAAACTTACGAACCCACGAGACACTTAAAAATACAACTAATAAACTTTATACCTTGTTTACAGCAGTCTGCGCAGAAGTTATTTCCATGTTTCTTTTGTATAGCAACAATCTTCTCTGCTAGACTCCGTTTCGTCGACATTTTTAACAGTAAAGAGTCATAACGCTGCGAAGGGTCTCTGAACTGATCTGATCAACAACTAAAATGTCCTCCGGCTAGTGCAATGTGCAGCTTGCACATTCAGGCGCAAATAGATTATGACTGATCACTGATCTGCTACCATGAAAGCTCCTTTTCTCATTTGCATCACAAGAGTGGATTCACGGAAGCTTTCAGTCTTGTAAACATCGCGTGGAAGTCAGTTCTTCAGCGACGGGCGGGCACGAGAGAAGTCGATCAGGGCCGGAAGGTTTCCAAGAATGAAACGAAAAGAGCTGATCGAAATTATTTTTAGCGCACAACAGGGGCAATCATTAGTTAAAATCGCTTACTAAACAGGAAGGATGTCTCAATTTGGTCACGTTTCTTAATCTGCGCGAAAGGGTCAAGGAGAGCCTTAATGCATTCCTACGATTGTTAAGAATCTTTTACGCGAAACATGAATCATTCCCCACGTGCATGGCAGTAAAAAGAGGTCTTTGTCATTCAACGCTTTTTTTTAAACTTTAGAACGGCAACATTTGATGACAGAAAAGATCACATCGAGTATTGGAACTTTTAAAACAGGCGGGGGAGTCCCCCAGGAAGAATCATGTGACATAACGAGGTCACGCAAACGCAAAATGAAAGAAAATACGTCAAGTCGATGGTATGTGAAAAAACTGCGACCCAATTTTCACCATATAAAGCAATGCATGGTAGAAACATAGTGTCATAAACTTCTCATAAGTCCTGTTGTTATGTCGTGGACCTCGGTTGACTATATTGGGAATTTGTACGCATGCGCGCCTGTATGGATGGCGTTGAATGTCTACGCACCATTCTCGTCCCCAGAGCCTCCGTTTCTTTTGGTCACGTGTTCGGAGAAACGGACGACTCTGTTATCAGCCATTACCGGATGTCCGTAAATCACGGACATCCGGTAACGCATGCGTAATTTTGACCTGCATATCTGCTCATGCTCAGAAACTAATCC